AGTAAGGCCGAGGGCCTGTGTTGTGAGGATATCATGGAATCGGGTTGCACACCGCAGCATGTTGTACTGATTTGTGATATATGAGAGGCCGATGGCCTGATTTATTATGCCACGAGATGGCTTGTTATAGCGCTTGAGTTGTAGGAGCTCATCCGGAGTCTGAACACCCCCAGTGAGCGTGGGTACCCACTGTGAGTGATGTGATGTTGCCCGAGGGGCAGTTGTTGATTCATGTTGTTGCCCGAGGGACTGATTACGAGTGATTGTGAAGTAGCCTGAGGGGCTGGTTCTGTTGATATTTTGCCTGAGGGGCGGTTTATGGTACATGTCTTGCCCGAGGGGCTGTTTACGTTTCTATCATTTTTACTCACTGTTTCATCACTTGTTTGAAACTATTGAAAGATGTTTTTAAAAGAAAAGGTTTTACTGAAACTGAGTTGTTTTACGAATTAATTAATTTCTATACTGATTTGGGAACGAACTGTATTTGATGTAGTGCTATGACGTGGAATTATTTACTGCTCAACTTTTATTTACTTTTATTACTTACTGAGTTGGCGTACTCACATTACTCCCTGCACCTTGTGTGTAGATCCAGGAGTTGCGGGTCACGATAGTGAGTGCAGATCGTTCTTCCAGCAAGTCTTCGGAGTTGGCAAGGTAGTTGTTTGGCATTCGCAGCCATGCACTTCTCCTTCTTACCTTACTCAAACTGTTCTTAGTATTTATTTCCAGGCTATGATAGCCTTTCTTGTGCTCAGACAGATTTTGTAGATGCTCATGACTTGTGACATCTCGATGTCGGGCTTGTGTTATTTTCTTCCGCACTGGTTATTTAGACTTATGTTATGAGATTTTGTTAATTAATAGCTTAAAATGATTTTTTATGAAATACTGGTTAGATTTAGTATTTATGTCAGCTGGCCTAGTTTCACGATAGGCGTCATCACGACCGATTCGGTTTTAGGGTCGTGACATCTTATTATCCAATTTACCTGCTATATATATAGTCACGTTAATGAAGTACAATAAATTGAATAAGTTCAATGGAGAAAATATTTTTTACTTATATCAAACTAATAATGACATGATGTGTGTTATATATCTTTCTTTTACATAAATTTTATTATTAGAAATTTAAATATAACTAAATTAAATAAAAAACAAAATCATTTCAAATATTAGAATACAACACTTAAATTCAAACAAAGTTTATAATAAGATCGAGGGCGAAACTACACTTTAAATAACTTGACATTCCATTTTGAACAAAAGGAGTATAAAGTTAGTTCTAACTTCTACTTTACCTTTATTACTTTATGATGTGTGGCATATATTCGCTTCAAAAAAATGTTTAGAAAGCAAGAATCCCATTAACATGCTAGTGATTTCTATGGATAAATTGACATTGCCTTTTTTCAACCATCAAAATATGTCCTAAAAATCTGGTAACTTCAACTTTTAGAATCAAGAATAGTTTTTACAAAAGCGAAAGTGTCACTCCTTTTAGAAAGCCCTAGAATATCATAGAATCATTATTGCCTCAAAAATTCTACGCACAAATTTACTAAAAATATTATAAATTATTAGATTATTCGGTGGAAATTTAAACTCCGTAATTCTTTTATCCAAGAGAAATTTACACTTTTCCTGGAAAGGAGAAAAAAGATGATAAACGAATAGAAAGTCGTAAATTTTTTACTTTTTCTATTTTGGTATACAAGATTTGAAAAGGGAGGCAAATTAAGCTCATAATTTATTTATTTGTTTTTTTTCAAAACAGAATAGCAAGTAGATAATTTTTCTCCTGTTTTCCCTTTCAACCAATCAAGAGAGAGTAATTAACCTTCTCGCATTTTCTGGATCATTCTCTCTCTTCATTCTGTTTTGCACGTATATATATATATCTCCTTTCTCTTAATGGAACTAGTATTAGTACTCATGCGATGCGCGGACACAAATCACGCCAAATTGTGATGTAGATTGTTTAAATCATGTGCGAATAACCTTAAAATATAAAATTTTGAGATAAAAATTATATAAATTTAGACATTAATTATGAAGCAGGATATGAAATTATTGTTCAAATATCGTAGTGGACAATCTCTCTCTCTCTCTCTCTCTATATATATATATATATATATATATATATATATATATATTCGTAGTAGCATTCCCCTTAATTTTAGTACTTGCATCTCGTTTTGCTGTCAATATTAAAGAATACTAAACATGTCTGTCTTGTTTGAGCACATTAGATAATATTATTTTAACAAATTCTTACTATCACTTTGTTTTTATCTGAAATGTCAAATATGTCTTATGTATCACATCATTTTTACGCAAATTCTTTTTTTCTTTTTGTTCTTTTCTTCTAGTTATTGTATTATTTATTATTTAATAATATTACACTATTGTATAATTTTTTATTAGCTTAATAATTAAATTAAGTCTTGCTTATTATTCTTTTAATAGTCTTTAATAAATATATGTATTTTATTCTTGAAATTTGGTATATTTTTATGCTTGTAAACTCTTATTTGAAATTTTTAATTATTTAAATTTATCAGTAATATTGTAAAATATAATTTATTTATTTTTAAATTAATTTAAAGTATAAGTATTCTCAGACTCCCTCTATTTGTTTTATACATTATCTTCCCTACTATAAATTTTAATTAATTATTATATTAATGTTTTGCCTATAACCAAAATAATATCATATTTCATTTTAAATTGTAACTTTGAATCAGTCTAAAATATTAATACATAGATTATTTGATTATTATGTTCCAAGTGTATTGAGTTCTCTTATAATTATTTTGTAATATATGCAGTTAAATTTTTATTTTGTATTATATTCAGTTATTTTTTGTTTTTAAATTTTTAATTTTTATTATATTTATTATTTTTCATAAATAAGACTTCAATTTCGCGGTATTATCCATAGCTTGATCATTCTCATCATAGTTTTAAGAACTTTCTAATCTCAAATTCAAATAGTCTTTCCCTTTTATTTCTAATAGTAATTTTTTAATAATTTAACTTAATTTTGCTATTTTTTTAATCTAATTTATAATCTTATTACGTTTTATGTGGCTTTTTATTAACTTGTAACTTTATTTAATATCATTATCAACTAATATTCTTTAATATAATATAGATAAATATATAGAATAATTTTTAATCATAAAATAAATATTTATTTTGTTTTAAAAATATTGCTTGAAAATTTTAAATTATTTAAATCTTAATAATATTTTTAAGTATTATATATTTACTTTCTTTTATTTTCTAAACTTATGATTTATAAATATCCTCCCATTATCTCTAATTTATTTTATTATTCAATATTTTAGTTTTTGATTTTATCTATTAGACTTGAGTTACGTGGACTTATCCATATTATGACTTTTCTTATTACAATATAAAACTTTCTTATCTCAAATTTAAATTAGTTTTACCCTTTTTCTCTATGATAAAAAATATGAATTTTTATTTTTTTCTCTATTTAGTCTTTATTTTTTATATTATATTATTCAATTCCTAATATTTTATATTGTCATGTGGATTTTTATTAGCTTGTTTGAAATTTAATATATATTTCTGCCATACTCATTCTACTATAATATAGATAAAAATTTAATAACGTTCTCATTTCAAATTCAAATAATTTTTATCATTCTATTTTCTAATTGGACCACATTTACAAAAATTTATGTTATGCTTTCAAAGTTAAACTAACTACACTCAATTCAAATATTAATCATACAAAAATATTTTTTTAATTGTTTGAACACATTATTGTAGTAATATTTACGTATAAAATATGTGTTTGCCCGATATGTCAATATTAATATGAATTTATTAGTCTTATTATCAAAATATTTTTTACCAATTATTTAATTTTTTTCTTATCTTATAAATAATTTGTATGATTTATATAAGATCTTATTTTGCTACTTGAATTTATTTAATTTTTAAACTCAATAAATCATTAATATCGTAAGTAAATTTTAGTTTTATTTTATATTTAAACTTACTCCAAAATATAAATAGTCATAGATTATCTTAATTTATGTATTTCTATATTTTTTATTTTTTTCTATTATAGTTTTTAAATTATTTTTTTACCTCCATACTTCTAGCTAATATATAAGAAAATCTATGAGTGGATCAATATATAGATATAAATATAAATATTACTATTATATTTGTTTAAGCTATATTTAGATTATGTATAAAATTTATTAAACTACTTCCCTTAATTATGTTTCCATTTATAATTGCTAATAATTAATGTTGTCCTAAAATTACCAAGTAGCTTCATTTTAGCTTGCCACTTCACTTAACCACAATGTATACTACCCTCATTTTAATATAATATAGATATATGAATAGAGACGAAGTAACACGAATATCTCCTGTAGTCAATTTATTTTCATGAGTCAGGCTAGTGGGAGCAAGAAATTTGAGATAGCTAAGCTCCAACTTACAGCTTGTTTGGATGGTTGTTACCTATTGTATTGTATCGTATTGTTACTTTAAATACAATGTTTGTTTTGATTATTACTTAAATTTTACTGTATCGTCTTGTTAAATCCGTCGTTACGTAACGATGAAATGTGTCACTTTATGTAACGACCGATTTGGTGTGGTCGTGTCATTTTCTTGGGTTTTTCTCTCAATCTCACCCTTCATTAGTATTAAATAATTTTATTTTATCATTTACCCTACCTTTTTATATACCATATCATAATTTTTCTTTATAATATTGCAAGTTTATTCATCATATTACTGGTGCGTGATACTATGAAACGACGATAAAATGACACAATCCATCCAAACATTGTATTCACCAAACGATACAATACAATACAATACAATATATTATGAAACGATGAGTAACACAAGCTGTTAGCTTCCATTTTTTACCTATGCTTTAGTGAACTTTGGGTTAGGTCGGATCATGGCAAAAGAAGGCAAATATAACATATAAATATGTAGTAACTTCTTATACTGTCATTGCATATATATATTAATCTGAACTTATTCTTGAGAGACAGAATACTTTGTGGTCGTCCAATATGAACAACTATTTAAAATCAATAACACAAAACAATTACAAGAAAAAATTATTTGACAGATATGACTGGATCAAGGGTGATGGGAGCAAGAGAAGGTTCTTGAACAATGGCATTTAGATTATCTACTTTCCCTCCTAATTTAGCCTCAAGAAATGCCACGACAATCCCTCCAACAGCCTTTCTCATAAGGTCCTTTGATCCCTTCCCACTCTTTGCAACCAAACTCGCAATTGCAGCAATTTTGTCATCTAAAATATCAGTATGTCCATAATCCTTAGCAAGAAAATAATAGCAAGGTGGTTTGCACTCGTTAAAAAACTCCGAATGGTTGACACCGTTTGGTGCAAAGGGTGGGAAGATATAATGCGCACGTTGATTTGACAAGCCGGCGCCGATCACCGCCACAGGGACCGTCTGATCGAAATTTCGAGGAATATATTGGAGAATTTTCGGAGCAGATTGGCTGGACGGAGAAGAACCTGCAAATAAGTGGCGTAAATTTAGCTCATGTAAATATAACTCTGCTCGGGGAGTCAATTTGGGCATAACTAAGTTAGCCTATCTAGACGCTTTGGCCAATTTGGGCAGCCTATTTAGAACAAATTAACCAATAAAATAAATTATCAAAACATAAAAGAATATATAGTGCTTCATTCGTTATAATTTGTATGACATAGTTTGATTCGATATAGAATTTAATAAAAAATAAAAAAGACTTTTGAAATACGTGCTATTAACAATGTCATAATATTTGCGTGGCTATGAGATATTTAACACGTATGATTTTAAATGTCATAACAATTGTACTGTAGCTATAAAAAAATTTAATTAATGGTAAAACGAAAAATTCAAATTTAAATTGCTTGCAACTATAAAAATATGTAATCATTTCTTTTAAACTGAAAGTCTATCTTTTGGGTTTGTTATCATGATAAATAAAAGAATAAGCTTATGTTAGCTTAATTTTGAAAATAAATAAATAATAAAAGAGTAAATAAACAAATTACAATGATTTCTGTTATGACCTAACATGTCTATTGATTCAATACATTTACAGGCCCAAATTAAGCTCAATTCGTCCATTTGACATCCTAATTACCTGCAACTGGATCGATTCCTAGAAGAGCTTGAAATTTGATAGGCGTTGGGGTTGAGCTGGAGAGGTCGCCATATCCTAAAGCTAGTGAAAATGCTGTTTTACCACCTCTGCTGTGGCCGGAGACGGCGAGCTTGAGTAAATCCGGCTGCACTTTCTCCGGGAGAACGGATTCGAGGGCGCCATTGCTTACCCATTCTGTAACTTTGGCTGCTTTTTTCACTTCCTGGATTTCAGAAGCCACAGGAGAAAACTGCAAAATCCGAATCATGTAAGGGTTAACAAATTAAAGAGATGGATTAAGTTATTATGCAACCAAGTAAGTTATTCACAAATCACTACATATATTGGAAATACTACTGTATTCGACTCAGAATCTTGAAAATATATATATATATATATTATCCAAGTAATACGTACAAAATGCATCTATATCTAGAGTTCATTTGATCAATATCTATTTTGACCAATGAGTCATACAAAATATATATAATTAACATCCAATAGAGGCAGATTTAAGACGACAACTTGTGCGAGTTCAATTAAACCTATTTTATTTTTTTTTACTCGAGTTATCTGTATAACTATTATAAAGTAGATATACAAAAAAAAATTGTACGTATATTATAAAAGATTAATTATACTCATTTTTAACCTGCTAACGCTCAATTCTGAATTCGACGCTCTATCCAACAAACTTGGGGGATTAGTACCTGTGGAGCAACAACTATATAGCCGTGGGAAGAAATATGTTGAAGGAGAGACTTGTACCATATAGGCTTGAGAACGAAGCCATGAAAAAAGAGTAAAACTGGATAAGTTCCTGGTATGATTGGTGAAACAACTAACAATGAAGTTGGGGGTGAAAGATTATCATTATTTAATGATCCATTTTTCACCTTTGTTATTTTCACAGCCACATCTCCTTCTCTAAAAACAGATAATGATCCATCATAATGTAATAGCGGTTTCTCAAGAACCTTTTCCATCTTTCTTTCTTTCTCTCTCTCGCGCTCTTATTTTCTGTACGTCGACTTTTTGCATGCAGCAAACAACGTTTTTTCTGAGATTTATAATAGCAATCGTACGCACGGGGTCCCTTCGGGATGGCCCAGTTGGTTTGGAGGGCGGTCATCCATGCAAATGGTCTGGATCGAGCCTGACGCACAGAACTTGTCTAGTGCAGTTTACATTCCATGTGGTTTGTAAGCTATTATACTGTGGGAACTTACTCAGTGCGCACAGAGTGCTCAATACAGAGTGTTTACCCAATGAAGAGGTTCGGCTAAACCCAATAAATTTTACTCAAACAATATATCTGTATTAAGAAATTCACTAAATATATACAAATATTAAACGTATAACCTAGTTATTAATAGCTCTTAAAATCGTTGTTCTAATGTTCTACTTAAAATTAAAATCATGGCTACGTTGCTAAATTGGTACGTGACTTTCCGCAATTCATGAAGCTACACGGAAGGGACTTCATCATTATAATGATGACTAAATTCATGAAGCTAAATTGGTACGTGACTTCATCATTATAATGATGACTTTTGGGACTTGAATTGATTGCGTAATGCAAGAAGTCGAAAGATGTTTAACAATATATATATATATATATATATATATATATATATATATATATTTGAGTATCTTGTGATCTTAAAGATATCTTGTTATTATGAGCAATTCATTAATGCTAAAATTGGATTGCTAAAGGAAAGTAATTTTAAATACTATAAAAATATGTTATTTTTTTATGGGACAAACTAAAATGAAAAAATTATGATATGAAATAAAATAGATGGAGCCTCACTTCAAATATTATGTTTTTTTTTTGTGGATACAATAATAAACTCAGTATAATTTTATAATTGAAATATGAGAAAGGTAGTGTATTTTTCCTTTGAGAATAATACTAAAAAATTAAAGCAAATTTCAAATTAACTTTATAAGAGCAAAATACTTTGAATTCGGAAAAACATTTGACATTCGAGCAAATGGATGAACTCAATTTGTGTCCCAGAAGCAACTTCTTTATAATAATAGCTCTCTTATTTGGACAAATGTCAAGTCTTAGGTTTGAGGTAATTAATGTCACATGCATATATATCTCTCATTTTGTCTTTTTTGGAACATTTGGAAGAGCGGTCAAAGTGCATGAACATGGGAGCAATGACAAAGGTTAAATGGAGCTGGGAATTCGTAGTTTGCATTTGTTTCTCGATATAATCAGATCTTAGATCTTTCTATAATTGTTATTAGGGGTGTCAATGGATATTCGAAAATCGACTAAATCGATCGAATCGTACCGCACCGAACTGATTTTTAGGTTTCTTTTTAAGAAACCGTAGGTTTTTATATAAATTTATAATCGCACCGATAATTAGGGTAGGTTTTTATTTTATAAAAATAAACCGGAAAAAAATCCGAACTGTACCGAATAAATTTTACATGTAGAAAATATATTTATTTAGTAAGTTTAAAAATAATAATGCATTAAATTTTCTTTGAGCCTTGGAATTATGAAAACTATTACAAGCCAACAAGTAATTAAACTCAAAATACTAATTCCTAAAACCTATTGTGAGCACGTGATTTTTGCCTCACGAAAACTACTCCAAAATAAATCAAAAATAAAATAAATCTCTTTTAGTGTGCAATTTTTAGAATTTGTGTGGTGTTTGTAAATTATTTGTGTTATCCGTAAATGTTTGCTTTGTTATAATTAAAAAAAATTAAAATAAAAATATATGTTTCATGCATATCTAGGATTTAATTATGCATTTAATAATTGATTTAAAAATAAAATCACAAGATATGCATTGGTTCTATTTTAAATGTTTCACTGTGTGATTAATGTTTTGTCTATGTGTTAATAATTGTTAAAAGTAATCAGTATTTTTGTAATGATAATTTTTGTTTTTAATAATTTTAATTAGGATTTTAATAATTAAAAAATAAAATTAGAAATTGAAAAGAGTTGATTAAAATGTAAAAAAAACGGACTGGGCCATTTATTTGACAAAAATTCAGGCCCAAAACAATACATTTTAACCCAGCCCAAGTCAGTCAACCCGAAGACCATCAAATGACGTAGTATAGGGCAAATACTACGCCGTTTGATGATGCCCGGCCATTTAATTTCAAATGCAAACCATACGGCGTCGTATGGTTGCAATAGATCGGGGCCGTTCATTACTTTTGATCCAAGGGCTCCCAGGATTTTGACCTAACCCGTGATCATTACCCGATCCAGTACCCGGGCCGACCCATTCCCTAACTAAACCAAAACGACGCCGTTCATGTAAGCATATAGATCCTGGCCATCCATTCTGCCTGATCTAACGGCCAGTATCAATCCACATTCCCCCTATATAAACCTCAAATCCTTACCCCG